GTAGACTAGTCAGAGCAGTCGGAGGCAGCAGTGTTTCCCTCCGAAGCACCGAAGGAATTCTCGTAACAAGGTCGGCATGTTGCGGCGGGTGGCGAGGTGCAAAACCTGTTTCGTTATACAACATTTCGGAGCACTTAAGCTGCAGGCACACAACAAGTGATGCTTCGAGACTAAGATCCTGCTTTCCATGACCCAATAAGAGACGTGAACCCAACTATGCACATGCTACTTGCGCTTTGCATCGCCTCCTTTTGACTGGGTTGCTGCTGGCCTATTCTGCCGCGCTCATGTGCCTAAGTAGTGGCAGCATTGGTACATAAACTGCAACGGCTCCGAGTGATGTCATGAGGCCTGGACATGGCCAGTGCAAGCTCCAAATTGCCTGCGTAGGTGCCCAGACTTAGGGCAAACTTCTCCTGCAAGATATCAGAGGGCATGAGTCGTCGTCTATCTATCTGCTGTTCTTTCTGCCTCGGATTTGATCCGAGTAAGAATTGCCGCCAGCGTGGCCAGCAAGTCCAAAGATGTGCCATCCTGCAACCCGTCTCCAAAGGCTAATGGCCAACACGGACGGGCATCCGTGCCTCTGAACGGACGATGCAGGGCCAGTGGTGTGGTGCGAGGCTGATAGCTGCCACGACTCTACCACCCAAGGGTTCTTGGTCTTGCAGAGAGCTTGCCAGAGGCTCGTACCCACCTCATGACAGCCATGACGACAGCCCGCAAGAAGGAAGTTGAAAAACACGGTTCGGAGTCAGGTGCCTGTGTTGCTGCACGGCATCACCAACAACGTCTTGCCTGGCGTATGATGACGCGGTCCATCTGAAGTTGGGGCAAACAACATGAAGCGCCGGCTGTCCAGCCTGGTGGCGCCGCATGGAACTCCAAAGTCTCATAGTAGGCAGGATATAGCATCACTGCAGTGCCGCTGCTCCTTACAAAGCACTACCCAGGGAGGAATGATGCACTCGGACATCCGCACACACACACACACGCAATACACACAGAGCCTGACGAGGCCCTTGCTTCCATGCTATCGAGCAAAACGCTTGACTCTTGTATTCTTCGTTGCTGCATGCAGCGACCGTAGCACGGGTGCCGTTGCAGACCTTGCAACATTGCAAACAAGGAAACGGAGCTAGTGCAAGGCTCACCGAAACCCCGCGACGAGGCAAATACGTTTCCATGCGGGCTGCCCCAGATCACGAGGTCGAAGCTGCCATGTGGTACTGGCGGCACCTGCCACTCTGATAGAGGAACAAACGCATGTGCATGCATCAATTTTAAGAACTTGTCCGTCCTTCCACGACAGTGCATTGAAACCATCAACACTTTCAAACGGCAGCTCGTTCGCGTCGAGGATAGCTCCGCAGGCCGCGAGAATGAACAAGTTCTTGTCCTGCATATCCCGTAGTTCGACTAGCTTGCTGTGTTGTTGCATAACATTGAGCACACGGCCAGGTGCCATCGCGCCGGACAACGTACCTCTGCGTCCTGATCCATGCCGACGACCCTTCGACACAGGGGGAGTCAATGCGCGCGGCTCTCTCACACCTGCCTCTTCCTCCGCTTCGAGGTCCTGTGCAGAACACAGGATCGGCAAGCTCGGACAATCACGGCTCAAATGATGGAGATCCTTTAGCCAGGAGAGTGGCACTGAAGTTGGGATGATGCCGAAGTCGCTGATGACCAATCGCTCCATGTTACGTCTCCTCAGCAGAACAAACATAGAAGCAATGTGCAAAGTACTGCAATTAGATCAAAGCAGCAGCTCCTTGGCAGCAGGGCCGAAAAGAGCAGCTGTTACTGCAGTCTTTGCTGTCTTGAGCACAAAATGCTGTTTTGATAAAAAGATGTAAATATAAATATATATATATATACGTATATGTATCATCATCACTGCTATTCACCACGGTTGTTCTATCGCTTCCGTTATGCATTTGCTCTTCTACATCTGCATCCAGAAATGCAGAAGGACCAACTGGAGAGCCTTTTCTCGCCATTTTGCTGGCTGATCTGTATTCGGGGTCAGATGCTACGCACACAAGCCAGGCAGGTTTCCGGCGTTATTCAGCCCCAAGAGAAGCGCACCTGTCGAGCAGGCGGGAAATGGTGCACCATGCGGTTTAAGAATAACCAAAAGCTGCGGCACAATATACCGGTTAAGAATAAGCTCAAACATGGTGGCACACTGTACAAAAGCAAATGTGGCGGCACACCACACTGGTTAAGAAGAGTCTCAAACATGGTAGGGCACCGTACAGAAGCAAACGTGGCGGCGCACCATACTGGTTCAGAACATACTCAAACATGGCGGCGCAGCATACAGGAGCAAACGTGGTGGCACATCCTACTGGTTATAAGAATACTTTCAAGAATGGCGTGGCGCCCTACAAAAGCAAGTGTTGCGGCATGTCGGCGCATCGTACAGAAGCAAGCGTGGCGGCGCACCATACTGGCTAAGAATAAACTCAAACGTGGCGGCGCTCCGCACGGAAGCAAACATGGCGGCACGCGATGCAGCTTAAGAAATAGCCCAAACATGGCGGAGCACCGTACCGGTTAATAATAAGCTCACCTGGCGGTGCACCATATTGTTTAAGAATAAGCTCAAACATGGCGGCGCACCGTACTGATTGAGAATAAGCTCACCTGGCGGTGCACCAAACAAGTTAACACTAAGCTCAAACATGGCGGCGAAACAGAAGCAAACGGGGCGACGCACGATACTGCTGCTCAAACATGGCGGCGCAAACGTGGCGGCGCACCATGCAAGTTAAGAAGGAGCTTAAACATGCTGGCTATGTGCATATGTGCCGGCCTTCTTCTTCTACTGCCTCAGTTTCCGAGTAGCTGCCGGGCGGTGCTCACACAAGCTGTCAGAAGCACTTACGTGCCGGCCTTCTTCTTTCGTTGCTCAGCTTCGGAGTATAGGTACCTGGCGTCGTGCACACACACACACACACACATAGACACACGCGCACGCCCGCGCACACACAACAAGAATCAGCATTGTACAACATCTTTCGTACCTCCTGATTTCGCTCCAGTTTGTGCGATCTCTGTCGGCCTGTGGTGGTTGCCACTGGTTGTGCAGTGCCCGTCAGAGAACAAATTCACGGTAGCTTACAACGCAAAAAAGCTCGGCTTTCTTTCCGTCTCGCCGTACTGCGCTGGGTGAGACAACGCGCATCAACCAAGAGCCCTGCGCTGAATGCTTTCTGCGACCATTTCCAGGGCCATAGCTGCGCGCTTGGCCACACGCCTCGCTGCCTCTTGCTTTTCTCTCCGGCGCTCCTTTTGTTTGTGCTTTCGAAGCTCTGCCGTTTCCTCCTGTCTTCTCTTCTTCTCGAAAACCTCGAGGTTCTTGATGCAGAGGCGTATGTTCTTCTTGGTGCCGAGCGGAAGACCTTGCAAGTCCTGGTTCGATAAGCGTTGGAGTCGCCTGCCGAAGTCTAGGTCGCCCGTGATTCTGGGCGCTAGCATTGGGTATTTCGAAAGGGCCCCGATCAACGCCAGGTGACCCAGCGTGAGGGCCCAGTCTGAGCGCTTCGAAAATCCTGCGACGAGCCGCTTCAGGTGCACGGATAAGCGTGACCATTTCTGCGCCGCAACCGAGCAAGTGCAGATTAAAGCACCGAAAAGCATCGATGTATCCATGGCGCCGGGTGCGGGTGGGGCGTGATTGTCGAACAAAAGCTTGATTTGTGCCCAAGAGCTACACCGGTTGAGGCAGCTAAGGATAATTCCTGGCTGGAGGTTAAGCTGCAGACGATCCTGCCTGCTAACTATCTTTCGGCCGACCCCCGCCTTATTCAGCTTGAGGACGAGCTCGGAAGAAGGCACCTGGCGCATTAGTATGGCTAGAGGACGAGGAAACCAGATCGAAATGTGCGGCCTGTTCGCTTTAGGGTCTTTTCAGGTAAGACGCCGTGTCCTGCGTGTCCAGGATCGGCACCTGACGTTGCGCAGGTGCGATGACAAGAAAATATGCGGGCGGATATGCTAACGGGCCGCCTAGCACACGTCCAAGTTGTGAGCAAGCAGACACGTCTAGCAAGCCTCTTCTGCCGTTTGCATCTCGCCCTGCGGGAACGGAACACAGCCTCTCCTGCAGCCTTGCCTGCCGAAGACTTTAATTTCGAAGCTGGCTTTGGTTCCGAGTTCCCTGCACCCATGCCTTGTCGGCACTTGATACCGCATGCTCAATATTGGCTGGAAAATATGAAACAAGCCCGGCCCAGCCTCCATTCGAGAAGCTGCTGGCACTGAGAGCCCCATACGGGTTGAGAATTAGCAAACTAGCCGTGCCCGGCCTCCATTCTGATGGAAGTTGAGGATAAGCACCTGGCACCGAGCACCCTGCACAGGTAGAGAGCACACAAACTTGCCGAGCGTCGCCCTGCACAGCTGGAGAACCGCCATCGATGCAGAGCACCGATGAGCCTCTGTGGGGATCTGCAGCTAGCCGCCTATGCTTTTCTGTAGCTGCCTCGGGATTGTAACAATCCTTGCAAAAGTGCAGGCACATTACCTTCGATTCTTTTGTGTTGTGTCGGGCTTAGACTAGGGCCTTTGCCAATGCAGCCGAAGGGTCGAAAACTAGCTTTGCCAGGACTTTCTGCCACCTGACAAGGGAGCGCCCTGCATGCGTGCTGGTTTTCTGTCGACTCGATGCTTGTGTTCTCACGGTTGTCTCGGCTCCCTGGCCTCGCATCGCGCCGCAAGTGGCGCCGGCGCATCAATGTGTCTCGGACCGTGAACTCCTAGTCAGGAGCCGCTCTTGCCAGGTTACGATGAATGGCCACACAGAACAAACCCGCTAGGACTTCAGTGGCAGTGGGCGCAGATGAGGATCGGGCGGGAGAAGGTTACTGGCGAGGCGAGTGACCAGGATAGCTTCGAGCCGAGGAGGTACAGCAATAGCATATTTCCGGCATGGACGTGTGGTCAGAAAGCCCTGTCATGTAACAGAATGCCCCTTTTCTGCTGCCTTCTTCCTACAAGCACTTTCTTTCGGTCTTTTGCTGGCATTCCCTCGTACTTGGGCGCTGCGCACGCACTGCAGCAAGCTGCCCGCTCACTGTCCGCTGCCCTGGCACGAAAACACTGTCAGCTGACTCCGCTGGCCGCTCTCTCTCACCTAGCCTTGCCTCCTCAGGTCCGAAGAGATCGCTCTCCCACGCCCAGATGGTGTCGCTGAGGTACCACCACGCTTCCCACGGCTGGTCCTCCTTCTTCTGGGCTTGGTAGCCTGCACAAAATCTGAAACCTTAACAGAAAGACTCGGCCCGAAGCTGCTCCTGTCCATGGCCTGTCCACCCGTGGTTCACCAGAAGCTCGCGCTTGCTCGCTTCCGTCGTGCAAGCCTTCGGCAACAGAGGGAAAAAGCTGAAGTCTATTGGCAAGCTTGGTCTGCGTTTCGTTGCAAGGATCAATGTAGGGCGCCGACGCGGAGGAGCTTCGCCATGGATTCGATGGGGGATGGCGGCTTCCGAGCCGGCTTTGCCGGCAGCTTGGGGCCCGTCACTGGAAGGCGCGGAGGCGGCGGTGGAGGCGGAGGGGGCGTCGTCGCTTCCAAACTGGGTTCATCTGCGGGCGGGTACCGGCCCTGCGCACGCCACAAAGAATGAAGGCACTGGCTTCACGATTGATTTAGCTTGGGCACAGGGCGGCCGTGCCTTGCGGATGTCCCACCAGCGACGCTCGGCGAAGTCCCATTGCACCATCAGCTGACCTGACGCAAGCATGGAAGAACATCCTGCTTCGGAATGGCGGTCGTGCGGACGGTGCAGAGGCTCTAACTCTTTTGTTTGTCATTGGCTCGGAGCCATTTCTTGCGCCTGGCAACAAGAGCACAACTTGCATTTCGAAGCATTGGACGCAGAGAACGAGGTTCTGGCTGCTTCGTTGTGAGCGTTTCGACAAACTTCTCGTTCACCGAACCGCTGAATTTCAGCCTCTAGCTGTTGAAGACTTGAATGGCTGGCAGAGGAACTTCTGAGGCGAGAACTTCAAAAAGTCAGCGACGGACTTGTCGTGGTTGAACCTGATGGATATTGAATTGACAGGCACATGGCGGCGAACTTCGCAGGCCCTGGCTCCCGCTCGTGCTCCATTGCTGGGTAAAAGATATGAAAACTAAGCACTTCGATGCAAGCCAAACTGCAGAAAGAAACACAGCTGACTGAAAAGCAGATCTCCCGAATGACACTCGCTGCAACATTTCCATACTAGAAATAAACACATATAATTACATATATGTAAATATGTATATATATATATATATATATACAAATATGCATATATGCAAATTTGCCCCATGGCTTGAGGGCAGACCTCCCAGAGCTAGAACGACTTAGCAATACGAAGCGTTGACAGACTGATGATAGTGGGGTTGCCTGGAAGGCGTTGCAAGACATGATGTACGTGACAGCAATCTATGATGATGTAGCAACTCTTTTCCGGATCATGCAGTGCACCTGCAGGGCACGCTTTATGTCAACGGAAGCACAAGTTGCAATGGGGCATGTGGTAGTCTTAGACGATGCTTGCTCCATGCCAATGCCCAGACGACAGGCGTCTACTACCTCTTACACAGACAGAAGGAAATCAAGAGCAAGGGCATGGCACCTTTTTTTGCGACGGTACCGGGTTGACTAATCATGTTCGGAGGGACTGCAACGCTGCCAGATCCTCATAGATCCTGCCAAGTGCAAACAGAAGCAGGGGAAGAAAGCGATATTTAACACGACAGGGCCAGTCCTTGTCCCAGATCGCGTGTTGAGTAGCTTCCTCATACCACCAATCTCGCTCCGTTGCGGGATCGCGGAAGCCTGCGAGAACATCGACACCCAGACACACGCCAAAACACTCCACGTCTACATATGCACACATAGACAAACCATTCGCGTACACATGCACGCACACGGACATCCTTCCGAAAGTTATGAGGCTCCCACGATTCCATTCGCTGTTCTTGAGAATTTGCCGTTTCAATGGCAATTCACGCACCTGCCAATCAAGCCATCCCATTTCTCCGGCGCAGGCAACATCCGACGCCTGTCTCAGCAGCTCGAGAAATTGGTGACCGTGGAGATATCATTTTTCCTGACATACTCTTGCGTCTGCCACTCAAGAGAATCACGGTGTTGAACCTTCCTTATGCCAGCCTTGACCTTGAAGCAAAGGTTCCTCCACAGACCTTCGACTCGCCAATTCGCCAAGAGCGCGCCTGCGCTCGTTCTCTTAGCGATCGGGGCATGCATGCTGCTAAACAACGAGGCTCAGTGACGGGCACTTGCCGATGGGACTTGCATCTCCGAAAGCAACACACAGACCTTGTTTCCCAAAATTAACTCCTCTCCTTCCCGCCTCGCACCTCCACCAGCCTGAAAGCAATTTGAAGCGGAAGCACACATAAACGACCACATGACGGATAGCCAGCTTAGCATCGGATAAGAAGAGCTCCATCATTTCCGCTACCTCCGCTGCTGGCCTGCCACACTACGTTATCGTTCAAAGATCGTGCTTTGTGTTTTGATGTCTATCATGTTTGAACCTTCAGGGATGAATGCTTGCACTTGCACATGTCACATGCAAGAAGTTCAAAGCTCGACGCTATTTTCACACGGTGGGGTAGCAAGTACCGCACACGGCAGATATCTTCGAACTGTCGGTCCTGTGAGACACAAGACTCTTTTCGTCCCCTCCGGAAGGAGAACTAACCACTCTCAAGCCGTGCACGGCTCACAAACTGAACCTTAGTGAACGGCCTGCCAGTCCAAGACGAGCAAGGCCGAGCAGACTGCGAAGCAGAGAGCCAAGACCCGAACCAGGTCTTATGCACAAAGCATACCTGAGTGTCCTCAAACTGAGGTCCAAAGCTTCCTGAAGTAGCACAACACTGATGCAATCTCTGCACTTTCCACGAATCAATTAGGGTGGAGAGGGTGGGTATTTCAAATAAAACTCTCGCCCGATTCAGGGCTTCCTGCCCCTTCGAGAGGTCAAGCTGCAACGGACGAATGTATTCTTCAACTGGTTTACAGCATGTATAAATGAGGGTTCATGAAAAGGCAGTGTAAAAGAAAAGCCCTAAATCAACAAATCAAAATTGGACTCAGTTCTCTGAGCCATTTTGTCATGTTGCTTTTCTTCGAACGATAAAGCCATATCTTCTGCAAGTGTTCAAAGAATGTAACTTATCGTTCAAAGATCGTGCTTTGTGTTTTGATGTCTATCATGTTTGAACCTTCAGGGATGAATGCTTGCACTTGCACATGTCACATGCAAGAAGTTCAAAGCTCGACGCTATTTTCACACGGTGGGGTAGCAAGTACCGCACACGGCAGATATCTTCGAACTGTCGGTCCTGTGAGACACAAGACTCTTTTCGTCCCCACTTCCTGGAGTCGCAGTGTTAAGCAGGCAGATTCGAAACTCTCTTCACAATCGATAACACCACTTTGGTCGCCTCGACGGACTCGTCCTTGAATCCTAACTTCCTGACTCTATCAAGTTTCATCCTTGAGGGTTCGTCAGCCAGATTGGCTGGTGATGCCACTCTCGCATACCACGGCAAGATGCCGTGGACATACTCAAGAAAATTGACCTCATCGATAAGAATCCCCGCGACCCCTTTCTTCGAAGAGCCGGCGATGTATGCGTGTCTCGCAGCATCATTATCGACATAACAAATCACTCCCGTTCCAGCCACAGCACCTGGCTGTTCGTATGATTCTGCGAAAGCAGCCGTCTTCTCGACTAAGAGCTTGAGACCGATCAAGACTCCGAACATTTCGAGCTCATATATGATCGTATGCTCATCTTGCAACGACATAGACTTGGCTTGCTGCTCTGAGATCGGCACGCTGAAGAAAGAGAGTGCCGAACCTGCCCCGGTCAGAAGGACTCCCCCAAGGCCTCCGGTTCCTGATTCCGTCTCAAACGCCGCATCGGTAAGAATCATAAAAGTCCTGCATGAAACTTGTCCCACTAGCCTCGGTTGGGCCATATCAAGGAACTTACCAAACTCTTCAAGTCGTTCCTTGGCCATCGACGAAAGCTTCGACCTGCCAGTGTAGGCATGCTTTGTCACCTCCGTCAGGCACCTTCTTCCCAGCCTACCGAAAAACTGGGCTTGAGCAAACTGCAGCCTACCCCGCAGTTGTAGAGCTTCCTTCTGAGTCATGGTTCCCTTGTCCAGGAAACCTTTGATCGCAGCAGTAAGTTCTTTACGTCGTTTCTCAGTATTCCTGACTTTCAGAACTCCCGACCCCGTCTGGTCAAGCTCGAAAAGAACGCCAAGGGCCTCGAAGCTAGTATTCCACTCCGTTGTCTTATCAGCTGACAGCTTCCAACCTAACAGCTTCATCACTTCATCGAAAGCGTGCGAACACGAGCTCCTATCTCCTCCAAGAGCGAGCAGAACAAAGTCGTCGAAGTAGTTCGTGGTCGGGATCCTGGCCCCTTTGACCAGGATAGTCCAAAGAGCTCTCGCTACTCTGAGGAAAAAATACACGGCCTTGGTGGAGCCGAAGGGCACAGCTAGTTGTTGGAACAACTTGGGCTTCTCCTCTGCCGGGTCGTAGACCGAGAGGTAAGAGAAATCTAAGCTTGTATCGGATACCGCCAACTGTCTGTAAGCCCCCTTCAGATCCGCCGTTTTCCCGTACAATGCGTTCATGTTCTTCTTTCGAGCAGCCCTCGAGAGTGTATTTATCAACATAGCAATCTCGTCGATAGAGTGCGTGATGGGCTTTTCAGAGACTGTGACCGTATCGTTAATCAAACTCGAGGAGTAGTTGTCAATAGGTCGCAGCTTCTCCCCTTGCATTAGCGGAAAACGGGAGCTGACCAAACATCGTTTCGGCAATGACTCGAACTCATAAGGTCCCGAGAGGTACCCACTCTGCACCTCTTCCATCGTCTTGTCCCACAACAGCTTGTCGATTTCCTTATCACCCGACGACCCAGTCTTCGCCCGGATCTGTTGTTTGATTTCATCAGACATTCCCAAAAGTTGTTCAGTATCCAACCTAGCAGGCTTGAGCTTGGTATCCAGCACCCCAGTGATAGGAATGTCTCCCGTCAACGTGGCTCCGTCGATGAGTTCCTGAACCACACCCATATCATCATACCCAATGTCTCGCAGCGTCTCTTCGAACAGCAAGATACGTTTGGGTTGAAGGATCTTCCTTCTGTGATCCGACATGCCAGCTTTCAGCTTGGCTTCATCTGGTTCCAACTCTTTGGCTCTTCTGGCCCACTTCTCGATGTAATTCTTCCTCTGAGAACGAACCATTCCCGGTTTGTGTACTAGGTCATGAACGAGGTCTCCCAAATCCTTGTTGCACTTGGATAACTTATGATATGGGTGTCCAATCTTACCTGCTTTGGCGATAAATTCGATGGGATCCCATGGGATGCCCACTCGCAAAACTGAGGCTCCATTCAAGTTTTGCATTTCCTGCTGGAGTTGCGGGCTCAATTGCCCCCCCGACTGAGTACGCGACAGAAGCTGGGAATCCTGCGGGAGCGCCCCAAGCTCCGGCAGAACACGGGCACCTTGTGGGACCCGCCAGTCCTGTTTAAGGCGCTTCGACCCGCCAAACGGATCCTCAACCTGTGGTGGCAGAAGGACATAGGCCACCAACTTCCACTCAGACACCACTTCCGGCATCGCCCCACGGGGCTGATTCATAGCCGAAACTCGCAGCGACTTGTTAGTCAAAGCCGGGCTACGGCA